AAATAAGAGTTATGGCTCCAATTACAAACTATCGATGAAAAAAATTGTATGACAGTTTAAAATCCAATATATTTAAAATCCAACATATTTAAACGACTCCACAAATGTATTCAATTTACACCAAGAGTAAAGAACCAAGAAACTTGAGTTTTAAGATAAACACTCAAAATCAATAAAGAAAACTACAAATTTGACAAATCATAAGCCATGAAAAGACAAAAAACAATGGGTTTTAGAATGAAATTTCAACTGCTTACCCTTTTTCTTGTCAAGAAACTCATATTAAGGTTGAATTAATACATGTATGTATATATTTCAAAAAAAACCCAAGAACATATTAATTCAAAACATATTATACAGTGCAATTTGGACAGCCTAACCCCAAAATATATAGTATATATATATAAATAAATAACTATAAAAGTATAAATCGTAAATATTAAAAATATTTTTTCAGATTACATATAATATATAATAATATAATTAAGTAAAAAACTATTCAATATTGGACTCATTTCGGAGGTATTAACGAGACGATTATAATGGTGTAACTTGTTAAAATAAAAATGTATTTTAAACATGTTTTAATTGATATACGATTATGTATGTTAATTTGATAAATGTTTAAAATGAAACATTTAAAAGTAAAGGACGTAAAATAAATTAATTAATTAATTATAGGGTTATAAAGTGTAAATTTAAAATTAAAATTTTAAAAAAATTGGTTGTGAGAGTGTGAGTGTATGTGAGGGGGTGAGTGTATATGAGGTGAGGAGGGGGTGAAAAAGTGAAAATGTAAGTATAAAGGGTATTTTGGTCATTTAGAATTTTAAGACTTTAAGACTTTTGCTAAATTTGCTTAATAAGATAGTATAGATAAAATAAATAACATTAAATTGTAAGTTTGTGGAAACATATGAGATTAAGAATCAATTTGATAGAAAAAATCTAATCAATCTCAAATGTTACAGTTATCTGTTGATTATATTTTAACCTATTTAATTCGTAACATGTTGAAGTCTGTTTTATCCTTTTTTTAAGGTTATTTTGATTTTTTTTTAATATAAGAGTTTCATATATTCTCAAATGGTATCAGAGACAAAGTGTACGACTACAAGGACTTTACTTCATAAGGGAATATGTACTAATTTATTTCTATCGCTCGTCTACCCTCTATCAACACGTGGTACAACATTGCGACAGTCCAGCCTCCATTGGAGGGGGCATGTTAAAATCTCATATCGACTAGACATGGAGTTATTCTATCTATCTCGTCCACATGACTGTTTTGGTCCACATTTTCTACATTAGCTATTGTCAAAAGTAGACGTGCTATCGAATGGTAATACTAGGCAAGTTAAGTGTTTTTTCCCGCCCTTCAATATATTCATTCATCAGATATTCCACTCTCTTTAAAAAAAAAAGACATTTAGGAGCCGTTTATCAAACGCTTACTCGAATAAGTGAACACCAAGTCCCGTTACCTTATCGGATGAATATGATAAGTACCAAGAATTTTACCCAATAAGAGCGATAAAACGACCAAAAGTCTTCTCTGGTAAGCGAGGGCGACGACTCTTACCACGGTAAGAGCTTACCAGGTAAATTGCTACATACGATACCGTTTTGGTAGACTAAAATCTTATCCGATAAGTAAATGATAGTGTTAAATTTTACCACAAGCACTTACTGGATAAATGTTTGGTAAACTACTCTTATTTCAGTTTGTTTGTAACACTTATAATTATTAAAATAAATAATTATAGTTTCATTTCGATTTCAATTTCAATTTCAATAATTAATTTTAAAAATTAATTTTTAATTTATTTTATTTTGTCCCGAAGTGATGATACTCGACAATATCCAATATATTTTTGACTTTTGACTTTTTAGAAGGATATAGACCCATTTTAAGTTAAGGTGGGCCCACGTCTACGTCTATGGATTGCCGTGTGTAGACCGACATACAACTACCCCAAAAGCACCGACACTTAACTACATAAACGTCATTAACTATACTTTTCTATTTTTTTTATTTTTTTTTAATTATTGTATCCCACCCACATGGCCACATATTTGATAATTTTATTTTATAAATTTTAATATTGTTATAAATTTATACCGCAAGCACACGGGTTATGTAACATAGAGATTGATCATATATAGGTCATGATATAAACACTAACCACTTAATAATTATGACTTAATTATGCGAATCAGATAACTAATTTGATCATTATACTGATTTAACATAAATTAAATGAGATTAAGGTAAGAAAGAAGGCAAGAAAGATTTAGTAGCAAAAGCAAAACAAATGACAACCAGAACTGAAGAACACTAGGATAGTGTCAACTTCGGATTTTGGTAATAGTGAGAATTCGCTACTACAAACCTGCTTCAACCCTTTTACGAGATGAAAAAGTTTTTCTAGACCAATGAGTTGTTTGTTTAACTCTTAATAGTTTCATTAAGAGGCAATATTTGAATCATTAAGATGTGAATCTTGTTTGACAAAAAAAAGTTTGTCTCTTAATGATTCTAAACAAAAACCTCGATCCTAAACGACGATTACCCAATAAAATGATAACTAAATCAATACCAAAAAACAAGTTATTTTATTTACGCTCCAATAAAATTGAAGATAAAGTAAATCTAAACTGCCAAGATGACTACGTTAGGTGCAAACTGCTAACAAATCAACATCAACAAAATTCAAAGATGAACAATGAAGATCTAAATAAAGCTTCACTTCAGGGGTAGTGTCTAATGACCATGAAGAAAACTTCACGCTTGTGAACCCGTGGTAGAAACTTCCATCAAGAATTAAGGCGTTATCTTCACGTCTGCCAAGCAGAATTTCACGCTCGTGAAGCATGGGCAACAACTGGGTCGCTCTGATTTCTCTTCCAATGACTTCTCCCCCTCATTAACTTTTGACGTTTATTTTCTTTCTTCACCTTGAGCATGTCTTCACTCTTCTAATCTTCAAAACTATGCACAATCTACACAAAATACATACCAAAAGCGTAAAAACTATCCCTGAAAGAACATACATCCGTGATTAGAGAAAGAAACGAAAAAAGGAATAAAACGGTACAAAACGGCTAAACTAAAGAGTAAAAAGTATAAAAAAACACAACTAAAATACACAAAGTTAGGTACATAAAATGCACTAGACAAATTTCATATAAAACCATCGTTTTATATGATTTTGTTGAATAAATAAAAAGAAACTATATCCATTTGAAGATGAATGTGACATAACACAAGAATGAATTGAACGCAAATCTCTTTCACATCAAATCAGTATCAGTTAAACATCAAAATAAAACCAGATGTTCTTTTCTAAAAACACCTTGTTTGTTACCGAGTAAAAGCCTTCTTGGGTAAGAAATTGACTTGCTTACGACAAATGTAACAAATAAACTCATACACCCTCCTCACCTATGGTGAGGTTTGAACCCCTGACCTCCTAGAAGGCCAAGGGCTACGATACCGCTAGGCCAAATGTATAAATTTAGTTTCTTTAAGTTATGTTTGGTATAAAAAACACAATAAAGGTCATTGTTCCATGTTTAATAGGATTCTTATTGGATGTGTTTGGTATATTGAGAGGAAAATGATAGAGTAGGATAGGACAGGATAAAAAAAAGACAGAACAGAACAAATGTTCAACGTTTGATAAAATAGAACTGGACATAACAGAATAAGTAAAATGACCAATTTACCATGATGAATTGTTTATATATTTTGATTAATTTATGTAAAATAAAAAGTTTATGTTGTTTTCAATTTTTATTTTATTCCTTTTCTACATTATTTGTTAATCATTAATATATAATAAGTTACATAAATTAATAAAAATATAGAAAACGTATAAAAATAATATTTTAAGAACAACAAAACTAAAGTTTAAAAACATGAAATACAATAGATAAATTTTAAAGAATGAATAAAATGTAAAAAACAGATCTATTTGACGTTTTAGAAAAGAATTAAGTTTTATTTTGAAGTTATATTTATAAAATATAAGTTTGTTTCGTCTTGTTCCACGAGGTAGGGGTGGAACATACATGTTCCACTTTATTCTACATAAAAGTCATGTCAAACGTGGAACATAAGTGTGTTCTATTCCCACCTACCGGAACAAAATGGAACAAATTTATACTTTTACTAATATAATTTTAAAGTAAAACTTAATTCTTTTTCAAAAATCAAATATATCTCTCCCTTTTACATTTTATTCTTTCTTCAAATTTTATTTGTTCTATATTTTCCAGTTCTGTCTCACCAAACGCAAAACAATTATTCTGATTTCTTTTGTCTCATCTTATATGGATATTGAACATATCCTTATTAGAAAATAGGGTATAAACAAGATGAGTCGAACTTGAAAAATTAATATCAAACTCGAAGTTCAGTACGTAATTTCCTAAATTTGAAGAACGGATTACCGTCTCGTTTTCAAAAAAGCTATTGAAGAGTATTAGACTTACATCAACATGAAATTGGTTCATTAGTTAAAGACTGGTTTTAGTTTACGATTTCATCAATAACTTAAATCCCAGACAAGATTAAATCCATTTACTCTTCTGATAATCAATCTTGAGCTTCTAAAATGATCGTATTAGTAACATACATAAAAAATGGTCCTGTACAATAAATTTTAAAATTTATACATCATAAAGTTGTTTACAAATACGTCAACCATTAAAATAGAAGACTTAAAAAATGTATCAAACATATTATCAGATATTTTGATTTAAGCTTTTTCTTTCCAAAAAATAAAATAAAATAACATAATTAAACCGTAACAATCATACATTTCTTTAATGAAAGTACCTCCGTATTCAATAACTATTCCTTGTGTTTATCTTTACGCCAAAAAAGTGTTTTGACTCGTTAATCTTGATATCCAAAAACGTAATTAAGACATACAGATATTAAAAACTTATCATCATTATTTAAATCTACATGAAACATATAAGATTAAGAGCTTGAGACAGCAATTTTACAAAATAAAGATATTGAATATATACAAATAGGAATTTTCCATCTACAAAATATTGTGGAAATCCCGATAGTCATAGTTACAAATTCATACCAAAATCACCAAAAAAATGGAAAATAAAAAACCACCCCCACTATTTTTAATTTAATTGTTTTCTTAAATCTCATTAACATATGAGCTCGATTATATGTATATGTATATATATATATATATATACACCATGGCTAAGCCGCCGACGGTGCAGTCACGTAGCGAGGACGACCACCCCTCTTGGTCAGCGCCGGCGTGGGTGTTTCTACCGCTGTGATCAACTGCGGCGACAAACCACCTGCACCAGTCCTCCGGTAATCCAACGTCTCATCGTTGTAAATATCCCACCACTTATCCACCAGCATCTTGATATCTTCTCTATCCATGTTCTTCTCTTTCCCGGTGAACCGCCAAGGCTTCGACCCGTCGGCGCAGTAGTGCACCACCTTGATCTTGTCAAGGTCCACGTTCTCCGGGTGGCGCCACAGCATCGCCAAGATCAAATTGTACTCGGTTGGCAGCGGTTTGTAAATGTCTCGAAAGAAGACGTTCAAGAAATCTTGTTCGGCGAATAGTGTCGGCGGCGTCGCCTTCACCGACTCCAGGAGGTCGTAGTATGTGGAGAGATTGGGCTCGAAAACGAACATTCCGGCGTTGAAATAGAGTGCAGGTTTAGAACCGAGCTCTTTTTCCGGCCACTGGACTTTTTCCGGCGACTGCTGACAGTATCCAATCTGGTACTGAGGACTGTTCCTCCAATTTCGCTCGCAGAAACAGTCCATAACTGCGTAGAAATTGCCGTCCGGCAAGTCAAACAGATGGTCGATGTTGTCGAACACTTGTATGTCTCCGTCTAAATATATCATCTTGCTGTACTCCACAAACTGCATCACAATTACATCTTATCAACAAATTAATAAACATATATATGTATATATATATATATACATATACACACAGAAACAAAGAGAACTGGAAGATTGGTTACCTCCCATATACGGAGCTTGGAGTAATTAATAACGTAGTAAGCCATGGCGAACTGTGTCTGGTTTTCCGGCGGGTACAACGGTTCGATCTCCCGGATAATGCAGCCTTGAGCCAGCAACTTTTGGCGGTGGTCCATCGGAACGTCGGGAAGCATCGCTACAACGAGTGGGTACACCGACTTGGCTTTACGGAGACCCTTGGCTAGAGCAACGACACCTTTCCAGTAGTCACCGTCGCCGGCCAAGAAGGTGACGTAAGCACGGCGAGGCAACGTGTTAGCCTTGAGGAGACCGGAAGTGGGTCTGTCGGCAGCGTTTCTGTTAACTGGTGGAGCCATTGATGAAATGAAGAGTGAAAATTGAAGGTTATGTTTCGTGGTTCGTACTTCGTAGTTGTATAGAAAATCTTGAAGGCAAGTGATGTTTGAGATGGTGTGTTCATGATATGGGGTTTGTGGGGTTTATATAGAATTGGAGGTCATTAATTAGGTATATTTTTTTTTTCTTGAAAATATTTAATTAACATATTTAAGAAAAAAATACCGATTTTAATATTATTTTTTTATTTTATATCTCATCGACAATGGTATGATAGTTTATTTAATTTAATTATTATTTAAAAATAAACACCACTTGATACAAATTAAACATTAATTTTATTAAACAAAAGGATAGTTTACCTTTACTGTGTCATTTTTTCGGATGAGTATTGTAATGGTCAAGAAATTTTATATCGTAAGAGAATTAAATATTGAGAATCTTACCTACAGAAGAACTCTTATCGGAGTTAATATTTACAGGATAAGAAATATTTACCAGCAACCCATTTTGATGATAAAATATGTACACTTACGGGGTAAAAGCATGTTTTATAGACGGTCTCAAAAAAAATGGTTGTTTGGTTGGTTTTCCGTTAAGTCTTCTAGGAATAAGGGGTTGTTTGTTTACCTCTTAATAGTTTCATTAAGATGTAATATTTGAATCGTTAAAATGTGAATTTTGTTTGGTAATAAAAAAATGCGCCTCTTAATGGTTCTAAAATCCTTCGAATGATTTTGTATCTTGGACCTCCCTTAACCATTAAGAACCCTAATTTCATCGTAAATAATTATCAAACAATTATATTTCATTTTCCACTACATCATTAGAGTATTTAATTATTCTGACCACTTAATGATTCTAGATAAACCATTATGCAATTGCCAAATAGCCCCTAAAACTAATTGTATGGGCTAGTTTGTTTGTATAAAGTAAGAAAATTTTTGTTTAAGAGATTTCTTCATTAATTGAAAGATCCTGTTTTTTTAGTTGGAAATGACAAATTTAAAAAAAAAACTTGACTTTTTGCAAAAGTTTTTATTACAAACTTATCGAATAAGTCACTTTTTATATCATTAAGTCATTATCAAAAAATAATATATAATTGATCAAATAAGTTATAATTATCATTAAACTGTTATAGTCCATTTGGTTTGCATGATTGTTTTTAAGGGATTTGAATTTCATTGAGAGATTTAGATTGGAAAGAATTTGAAAGTATTGGTGTGTTTGGTGTGTAGGATTCGCATGAAATTATATTTCATTATTTATAAACAATTTATAGAAAAAAAATATTATAAATGATTATAAAAATAATTAAATTACATTTTTATTAATCGATTATTACAAAACAAATATTTTTAATTTTTTATAAAAATCTTATTGCATACCCTTTTATAAAATATATATATATAAATTTCAAACGGAAAAAAAAGCCCTTCACAATCGAATAGACCTAGACCTCTGGGGCATTTAGGGATAGGGCAGGTTTGGAACTAACCCACTATTAAAGATATGGCATAAATAAATAATTGAAAAAAGAGTTCCAGTATAAAGATCTTTATTAGTTCGTAAACCGATTGTATACCACCACTGATAAACACCAGAATAGGCGATATTCACTAGCCAAGAGCACCCCTTTAAGTAAAAGCTTTTACAGCCGGTTGACCAAAATGAAGATACACCTAAATTCAATTGTTAAATTCGAATGGGACAGTAGTCTCCCTCGTAAGATCGGTCGACACAATTGAGTAGGCCATAAGCTAGAAAGACAGATCTACGCGTTTGCAAAAGATCTTGGAAGAAAAGCAAAAGAAAGATCAGAGCACATGGAGCCATCTCCTTATTTTTATAATCAAAATTAAAAGTGGCGGACCAGCTCATGTTTATATTAATTAATAAAAGAGCCCAGTGCACAAAAAATGCATGTTGGGTCTTTGAAACAACTCAAATCATTTTGATAATAATAAGTTTGATCTGTTTTACCAAGTAAGTCTACTGTTCGAGTTCGTATAGCCCTACAGCCCTATAAAAAAATTTCAAATGAATATTTATATGCAAAAAAACTTATCATTTTTCATTTGAATTTCGTCGTTATTGTTTTAACGGACCGATTGCTTCATCAAACGACAATGATTCCTATAAGCCCATTCATGGGGATTGTTTAAAGTATAATATCAAACCAAAAGCAAAACACATTTCATTTCAATGGACCCAATCGATCTTTTTCCAATTGTGGATAAACAAACTTGGAATTTTCCTCTTTTCCTGTCCAAAATCAAAGAGTTAATTATCAACTGTTTTATTTTTTAAGATATATATATATATATATATATATATATATATATAGGAGTTGATTCAAATACTAACCAAGACTTTTGTGTTAACTTTGTTAACCAAGCTCAACCAATCATATTCTATCTTTTCTTTAGATTCACATATAACTCATATATTAATGACAAGAGTAATTAAGTAATTTGTCGTTTATGTAACTCCCAAATTATTAATTGGGAGTTACAAATCTAAAAATCTTAATAATTGATGATTATGTAATATTGATATTTTTTTATACGTGTTCATGTTTTGTAATTTTGATTTATTCTATCCATAATGATATTGATTTTGTAATTGTTAAAGAATTTCCGATTGTAAAGATTTCGATATCGTTCGAATAATATGGATAAATCTATTGGAAAACAGATCGACAACAATGATAATTAAAAGGTTAAAATCGTCTACGACTACAATCGGAATTCGAATTCATATGTAATTGTTAAAGAATTGTTCACAAGTGTTCATATTGTGTTCATATGTACACTAGCTGCATATCTCAACATTGGTTTGCTCCTGAATGTGTTCATAATGAAGGAACTATCGTTCACAAATTGTTCATATTGTGTTCATATATACACTAGCTGCAAATCTCAATATTGACTTGCTCCTGAATGCGTTCATAATGAATAAACTATTGTTCACAAACTGTTCATATTGTGTTAATATCTGTTTTTTTATTTATTTACTTTCGTGTAACAACTATTCTTATTATATTCATATTGTGTTCATAAATGTTATACAGTTCAAGTTCATATATATGTCAATTTTTGTTCATATTTGACAAAATGGTTCATATATATACTAGTTGTCTACCCGCGCAATGCGGCGGAAGCCATGAATTTTAACGATTTTGAAGTTCCACTGGTTTTATAAGATAAGATTTAACGATGATATAGGTTACACTTGGTCTTTACATATTAATACAATTTGAATAAATAAGAGTTATGGTTCCAATCACAGACTATCGATGAAAAAAATTATATGACAGTTTAAAATCCAACATATTTAAACGACTCCACAAATGTGTTCGATTTACACCAAG